TATTTAATAATTATAATTGAATATTTAACAATTTTAAATATTAAGACATCGTATTTTTCCTTATCTCTTAATTTTTTACGTTGTTTTTTCTTTCTTTCTTTTTTTACAATTTAGTTTATAAACACTAATTTTTTTAAATTTTAATCAGTGATAGCATTTGAGGGGGAATGTATCCTTACAGGGTTTGACTTGGAAACAGTCAATACTCTGAAGTTGGGTTTCAATTCACGTAATAGAACAAGCATTTTGAAGCTTGAATCTGTTAGGTTCTTATAATGAGGTTGATATCAACTAGCTTAAATAACGCTTTAGTTTCCTGAACCTTTAAAAACTCAAGGTCAAGTCTTAATAATAGTTGGTCCTGATACTTTTACAAGTCACAATTCTCAAGACGTGGTATTTGAGGTGTCATGGTTTTGGGATACATACTTTTGTGAAGAAACGCAAAAATGTGGCTTATATATATGCTTTATCTCTTACCTTCTTTGAGGGAGCATCCGTAACTTCCAAGGTTTCTTAGAACCATATTAATCTCAGGTACCATTTACTATTCTCACCAAGGTTCAAATTTGTTCCTTTGAGACCCTTATCGTCATGTACGCATTATAAACATGAAGGTCTTATGTCAACTCGGTGACAAGTAATTCCTCAATGTGACTAAAATGCGAAAAAAAGTGCAGAAGTTGTCTGCATCACATCCCTATACTGGATTTATCAACATTTGACTCATCTTATTATCATTGTCTAATTATTTGCACTATCATTATTGTGATTTTAGTTCAAGGAACCGTTGGGGTTGCCAAATAACTGATGATGGACTGTATAAAATATCCCTGGCCAAGTGTGTGAGCAACCTGACATCAATATCCTTATGGGGTATCACAGGGATCACCGACAAAGGTGTTGTCCAATTGGTATGTAATATGTGCTGTTAAACATTTTATACCTTTCGTGTGGTGCTAGCTATCTGGTTCCTTCTATTTAGTATTTCATTTCAGAATATAGAATGTAGATTTCTTTTTCATGTTAATCATTCAGTTTCGACTGAAACGAATTTTCTTTGATTTTCCCTTTCATTGTTAATTTTCTTAACAGATTTCAAGAGCTAATTCCTTGCAACACTTGAATGTTGGGGGTACATTTATTACAGATGAATCCTTACAAGCCATTGCAGATTGCTCTCCACTTCTAAAGGCAAGTTTTCTTTCACTGATATGCGGACTTTACATTTCGATTCCTGAATAAGAATAAAAAATTCAAGTAATTTTCCAATTGGTACTGAAACTCAGTGCTGTTGTTCTATCACCAGAGTATTGTCCTCTGGAGCTGCCATCACGTAACTGAAACCGGGCTTCTCATTCTTGTAAGCAAATGTCGCAAACTCGAGTCAATGAATTTATGGGGAACAAGTTTTCCTCTCGACTGCTTCATTAGTTTACTTACCATTAGTCCTGCCCTCCAAGTAAAACCCAGAGGACTGCCCTTGAACGTTGGAAGCGCTTCAATGTTGCCTGTTGTATAATTTGCTTGTTCTTGTGGTTGAATCAGTGCTACACGTACAGGTTCCTTACTGCAAAATAAAAGGGGTTATTCTTTGTATTAATCATCATGATGAATTTATTCCTTCGATAAAAGTTGCGGAAAGGGGTTGCCTTCAAAGTATCTTTACTGGTGTAAATGTAATATATGAACCATTATTAAAATCAATACCATCTAAAAGCTTTGAGTGAATTAATTAAATACAGCTCTTTGCTAGAATCCACCACTGAATTTCAAATAAATGACTAATTTCCATTCTTGTGTTCGGTCTAACTTTAACTTTTACCGTAAAGAATATCTCAACTTTTAACATAAAGATCTTTTAAGAAGCTAAGCAAAGCAGACACCAAGTCTTTATTTCAAAATGTGGAGAATCACTAAAATGAATTCCTGAGTAGCATAAACGTAACAACAACATTTCATAAGGGAATGCTTGACCCAGCAACGAACTAAATGTCAAAGAAACCAAGACAATGGGAGATGTTAAAGTACAGCTATGATAACCCAAGGATAATGGATGCGATTCCAGTTCTTCACCCTCTGAACTACACTCCTGGTCATCTACTCTTTCTCTTAGGATTGGTACTATGTCCCCATGGAAAACCTGAAAGGAAAAATCAAATATGGAGTACTTAGAATTACTCAAAAGTACAACAATTATGAGAAATGTCATTCATCTAAATGGAAAAAAGATCATAACAAGTCAATGAGCAAATTAAGAACCAATACAACCAAACGGTACATCAGAGTAAATCAACTTGCAAATGGCAGCTGTGGATTTTAAGGTAATCCAGAAGCTCATGGCCTTGTTAGATAATTTCCATTATGTTGCTTCATAAATGAGAATTTAAGATCGACTCTCCTTTTCTTTTTTAGACCAGACAACTAAACCACAATCTTTGACACTGTATTTAGAAAACAAGTTATTATGGTATGGGAACCCTCTTTTATGGTTTGGACTGCACCAAACTGAAAAACAAGGAACATTGGATGGGGGGAGGACCCCCAAATCAGGGGATCTAACCCCCATCCAATGGTTACTGTTGTGCAATACAGTATAATCCGGACTACACAACACTTTTTCCTTATTGTATAATGAACATGAGTGACGACTGTCAACCATATTGATAAAGTGGATGAGTATATTCTGTTAAACCACTCTCCAACATATCAATATTCAATCCTATATATCATTTCAATCCAAATTCACCAAGCAACTATTACAAAGGACAACAAATGCCTTCTTTTTCTGCTTATTGAGGGGATAGAGTTCTAAGTGCCTAAATGTCACTGCACTGAAATGCACTCATTCACCAATTAAAAACTGAATCCTAGTATGCTAGGCAGACAATCTAATTGGAAAAGCAAGTAAAGAAAAACATGAAATGTTGTTGATATTGAAACTGCAATCTATCAGACACAAATTTTATGAAGAAGTATATTGCATACCTGAACTACTACTTTGGACGTTCTAGGTCTCTCTTGGCCTCTGTCTATGTCAGAATACTGCACAACCATTTGTTTTTTTGCCTCAACAGAAGAATCTTATGAGATCTTTTATAACTGAATCTATACCTCTAGCAAGAAATCCTTGAACTTTTACCTAGTCAGGGCAGATATGAGGTATACTAGCCTTTTGGCGAAAAAATGTACACACTGAGAATATTATAAGCCCTCCCAAAAGTGTTTAAGTACTAACCATCTATATTGGATAACAATCCTTTGTAGTTATAACAATAGCATAATAAGTGGGAAAGAAAACAAGCACACAACCAAGCGATTGGGATAATGGACTGTTGAGGTGGATCTTGAGAACTGAACAGATCCAGAAAAGCTTCCTGCAGTACTTGTTACTGGACTTGTACTAGGTATAGTAATATTCTTGCAAGATCCAAAAGGAGCTCCTGCCTGCAACAGCAAGGTATGTCATCAGAAGATCTACAAGCCCTTGAAAATGTATTTCTAAGAAACCAAAGCAATCCAACTAAATGGCCAAAATCACCAGGCTAAAAAGTAACAACTCAATACTTGATGAAATTTAGTTTCAATGTATGCTGCTTCAAAGACTAGAAGATTGTTTTTCATGTCTTATCATTAACCTATCATGCAATAAAGGGTTAATGGTGGAACAACCAAGGAATATTTCCCTAGTCTGGTAATTAGTTTGAAATCTCAGCCAAATCCAGAGGCAACAGAACAACCTAAATAAATTCACCTAGAATTCAGTTGGTAGCATCAAATAATAAATTTTGAAGAATCAAAAGCATAAGAAGCAATATCTATATTCTTC